TTTCGCTGGTAAAAGTAAGTAAAATCTGGTGGTATCAAAATACATGCATGTTATACATAGATACCCTTTTGTATTAAGAAATAAACGTAATTATGTAAATAAATGTTCATGTTGTGTAAGAATCAAACCCGTGACCATTGGAAGATAAAACAACGTTAAACCGATACACCACCAAAGTCGACGGTAATAACCGCAAAGATAGTGATAAGAAATAAAATTTTTCGTTGCTAGTGGTCACACAAAATTTTACCTCATACCTCACTACTTTTGTTTACATAGACTTGATTAGTCTAGATGTGTACATTAAATTATTCATCTATAGGTAAAAGAGTGCATAAATATTTCTATAACGGTAATTTCAAGGCCAAACTGGCTCGGACAAAGTCATTGCTGTTCTGCAACCATCGAAAGGGCGCAACTAAACCTTTTTGTCAAGTCAAACCTTTGTTCGTAGGTGCTAAAAAGAAAAAAACTCTAACATATAAAAACGACCGGAAGTACGAAAGAATGCTTACTGTAGCACCTTGATAGGAACGGGCTACTTCGAAGTCTTAGGTGTTATAATTGGCGTTATCTATTTATATTTTGGTTTATATCTAGTAATCTAGTATAACCAAAGACTTCTGTTTAGTTTACATAATGGAAAGTATTTAAAAATTATCATTTTTTATAACTTAATATTTTTTAAGGGAGTTAAAAAAAGTCAAAAGTTTTTGAAGGTGATGTACCTATACCGTAAAGAAAATTTTCGGTCCAAAAAATTGACGATAATTTTTTTTAAGTACCTAGTTTAAAATGGAAAAAAGTTCTGAATTTGTCACTATATTTTTTTTATGCTTAAGTCATGCTATAATTTTTCGAGTTATAAATTGATTTCGGTGATTTATTTAGCAATCAATAAGGTCCATTCTTGTGTTGATCTTATATTAATTTTATTACGATTGTAGCATTTTTTTGGATGAATAATCTCATGTGGGTGTGAACAACATCGTGGGATAAATATATTTATTATACTGTGACGTTTATGCCCTATATTTTGTTGCTAAATATCTAAGTTGTCAAGATGCTATCATACCTACTTTTCTGATGTTGTCACATTTAAATTCAATGTGACAAATTGTGAGACAAAGATATTTATTATATTATCTGTTACATGTATTTATCCTACTCCACTATTAAATAGCTTATAATGAAAGTTATATATTAATTTAGTTTAAGTATATTTAAAAAAAAGTGTAAAAACTTGAATATTTTGTGATATTTATTATACGAAAAATTTTACGTACATTACACGTACGCAAATTCGTTATACATTCATTTAGAGTCTGTTATTCTTTTATATAATTTCTTTTTCATATTTTTTTAGTAATTAATTTGAAATTAATAATTGCATAGCCTCTATTCAAAACATGAATAAAATTTAAAGTTTTCTCGTTTTCGACACTCAATAAGAGTTCTAATAAACAATTAAAATTGTACGCGTAAATTGAGATATTTTTTAATTCAACCTTTTTTTTTGGTAAATTAAAAGTATTTTGTAAATATTATTACAGTATGTAAATAAATATAAATAGGTACATTATATTAATCTATAAACAATAGCAAACGTTACCACAGACAACCGGTAGACGTGAAAAAGTAAAAAAGAAACAAAAGCCGGCTCAACGTTCGGAAATAACTCCGTCATTTATATATGAAATATTATTAGAACAACATATAACGTAACACTACCTTCCTGAGATCAGGGGTACACAGTCTTGGCATCACAAAAATCACAACTCAAAGTTCTTGTATACTGGCTGGCATAGTGCGTCTCGTGTGATACTCGGACGAAGGTATAGCTGTTACTGAAGCGGAGAGGCTTCGTTCAAGGCACTCTGTTTGGACCAGGTATTATTTTCACGTTGCTATTACACGGCAGTGTTAAAAAGATACATTCAATATAAAGCGGGTGAAGCGTTCGGTGACCATCTTGCACGGCGGGTGAGTATTGTAACAAACAGTATATTATCGTCTAGCGAGGGTGAAAGAGATGAAATGCGAGCGATTCTGTCTTACAAAGATTATGTATACACAAAGATAGGTACCTATAATATTTTTTGTTTTTGATGGATAACAATGGAATGGTAACACAGTTTGCGCTGTCTGCATACCCTGGCGAAGCACCAGTGAGAGATGACAGGTGCGAATAAAAATAGACCAGTTAGCCCATCGTGACGAATGTCACAAAAATTAAACACAATGGTTTCCAGGAGAAATCACAAGGAGATCGACCTGACAATATTATTAGTAGTAGGGCCGCTAGTCCTCATTACTAACAATCCCTTTCCTCCAGGTACTTTTAATGTAAGGATGTTAATAATATATTCTATTTATTTTTTCTAGCACCAAATCGTATAGTTCGATCAAAGTGGATCATCGTCATCAGCCATTAACTGTCAACTGCTGAACATAGCCTTTTTGGGGCGGGTTTCACCAGAAGTTGCCACGCTTGGCAGTCGAAATTGGTAAAAGCAGTTTTTTCAATGGATCATAATGGAATGGTAATCCCGACTGCGCTAACGGAATACGCTGACGAGGCACCAGTGAGGAGTAATAGGTAAGAATAAAAAGTCAGTTAGCCCATCGTAATAAGTACACCTGGATTTCGACTGGGAGGTCGATCTGATAGTGTATATTGCTAGCAATAGGGATGGTAATCTGCATTACTAAAAGTCCCTTTCTCCCTTGGCGACCAAAGTTATGCTAGGATTAATGGAGCTAGTAATTGTTTAAGAAGTCTCCAAAATTCCCGCAGTAACGGGATATAAATGGATCATGAGAATAAAACCTTTCTTTTTCTTAATTTTTTGTAGATTTAAAAAAGTTATAAAATAAATAGTAGACACTTGTATAATCATCTAAAAACTTATTGGATATAAATATTTTAATAATAGGTATGACATGTAAAATCGTTGCATAAGTAAACTCTTTTGTTGTGGGCCTATTAAAGTCATAAAATATGTAAATGTAAAAAATATTCAAATTAAATATAATAGAAGGTTATTTTGCATATAATTTTTCGACGACTTTTATAAGTGTGTAATACAATTTTACTTGTCATTACATGTTCTACTTTTTTTAATATAAAGTGATCAGAAAGTCTCGTTATTTCAAAAACTTTGCTCGTATCTTGTAATATGTATAAATCTATGTACGTTTTTATGTTAGGACTTTGGTACAGGTATTATATACTTATTTTTTAAGTCTGTTATACTTAGTCTTAGATTATATAGATAGAGTGTCTCCATAGAAATACTTCGAGAAAAGCGGGTCAACTCTTTTATATAATTTTGCGTGGTAAATAATTATGAGTGATTCCTTTATAACTTTTATATTTATTTTGTCCTATAATTTCCACATCTTTTTAATTCGTAAACACTCATGTTATTTATTAAGTAATACGTCAAGATACATTTTGTGCGTAAGTATATAGACCACTGATAAAAAAACCACAAATAGTTGGCCCGTTTTTGAGGCTCGATGCGCTATCTATATAATCAATGTTATACTCGTATGTATCTATATCTATTAGCTGTAAAAAAATCGGAGAAAAGTTTAATTTCAATTATAATAAAAAATCTATTACATTTAGAAGTCAATTCAATTTACTCTATGTCAGTGACGTCACCGTTTTAAAATGTCAGGCAGCGTGGAATGACGCCATCCCTTTCTAACACAGTATTCCCATAGGGGACTTATTCAAGGATACCGTGCACTCTTCAGTTCACTGCTCTTTCTACTTGCGCCGAAGCCTTAATACAACAGACTATTGGTTACATTGTATTAAAAAAAACTTAGAGTTTGCCATGAATATTTATAACAACTATAGAATCTTAACTTAAAAAAATATTTTGGACTGTACAAATGTAAATGCGACGCTTTAAGCGTAAAATTTAACTTATTCCGGTGCACTATATACGTAGGTAACATTGAAAAGGGTCTTATTAACATAATTATGTATTATGAAAACATTTTTGAGCGCGTAATCTTTTTTTTATAATCCACCGTTTGTGCCGTGTCTTCTTGATGGAACTTTGTTATAATCATTATAATTAAGATCTTATTTAAAAACTACTTGCACTCTGTTCCAATGTCTTTATTTTAAAACTAGCTGCATTCCGTGTCTTTGCTCGTGTGAATCAATTATAAAAAGTACCCTATGAGCTAAATTTGATATAGTTCCAGTAGATTATTCTTATGGATAGGATGTAAAGAATTTATAAAATATATAAACGTATCTGAAAAGGTTTGTGTTGTATACTGTTTTAGCTATATATATTATATATGCAATACAAGATCCACTAAGAAAATCTCAAAAACTTTTACCCAGTATTTTCAATGCCATATCTTATCTCAATTTCTTAACTGGAACACAGCATGTAAGCAAGCTGTAAACCTTGGTGTCTTTGGCAAATTGGCCCTTTTATTTTTATAAGACCCAATTAATATTTCTCCTTTTACGCCTATAGGCAATAAAAGTTTTTATTTAATTCTAATAAAACTGTAATCTCGTCTGTGCTACACTTACTAATTGGAGCTAGTTACGCAGAAAACAGCCACATCATAATTATGGGTGTCCATAAAACATGGCTGTTTTCTGCATAACTAGCTCCAATTTTAAAAAAGGTCTCAATAAAAACTTACTGCAACAATGTATGCCATTGTGTTTTCAAGTACACCTAAAGCACATGTAAGGGAAATTTATGGTGGACTCATAAACTTTCTATACGAGTATACACCAGTAACCGACCAGCCTCTTGGTTTTCGTTTCTAACTTTACGCCGGCGACTTTTTATGTAGACTGCTGTTGCGGTTAGTCGCGCCGCCGTTTATTTAATAGCGAACGTAAATATTTGGTCTCGAGTTCAAGTTAGGTGCAATTTATTGCCACTAAAGAGTCGTTTTACAAATCGACTTGAACTTTTTTATTTCTACCGATTAATTTTAAGCGTACATACCTGATCCTCGCCGCGGTAGTCAACAATCTCGCTTCTGGAATGAAAATTGAATAATGGTGTTTAATAAGTATATTTATAAATGCCATTTTTACATGAACAACATTTAATTTCATTTAATGCCAAATACAGAAGCGATTTTAAGTAACCTATCTTTTATTAAATCGATTATATAAATAGATCTAAAAATATACCTATACCACCTAATTAAATTGTTATTAATGTGATCTCAATAATCGCAGTTTTTATTATAGATTATTTATAATTTAAATAACTACTGACATAATTACTCGTTTTTAATTTATAATATATTTTACTTAGTATATAAAATGCACTTATTTTTGGTTCTCTAAAGATAGGTGCATTTTGGAATTAAATATATCAATCAATTATATTACATTAATGTATCTATGATTGCATCTTTTATATTATTTAGAATTTATGAGTTGGAGTAACAAGTAATTTGACGCAAAAACGAGAAGGTAATGATTCGTTATGGTACGCAATCTACTTTTATATTTTTCGAAACAGGTATTCTTATTTTTTCCAATCAAAATTAAATATATCTTGAATAGAAATAAAATTTAGTATACTATTTTGATTACGTGATGGAAAAATAAAAGAAGTTTTAGATGTAGTGAGCTTGGAATGAGAGTTTTTTTTTCAAATATCAATTGCCAACAGGCACGAGGCTTCTAGAAAGTTTGCGTCCGTTGCTCGTATTATTTGGGCATGCACTTCCTTACGCGGAGAACAATTTGTGGGGCTCACAAACGAGTTCGCGTCTCCGTGTAAGCCCATAGTCATGCACAACGCGACATACCCCACAAATTGTATAGCTTCTCTCTTAAATTATTTTAAATAATTACATATTTGATTACTTTAAATTATATATATTTAGTTATATTTTTTACATTTCAATTTTACTATATAGAACTTTAATAAGTTGCTCTACCTTTGAACCAATTGTGTTTGTGCTGTGAAATAGTTGTACTAGTATGAGTTTCGGTTTGAAGTGTAGAATACCATACCATGTCATATCAACCATTAACCGTCTACTGTAGCACATAGGCTTCCCCCTATCGGGGGGTTTTGCCAGTAGTTGCTATGCTTGACAGACAGTTTGGCAACCGCAGTTACGCTTTAGTGACGTTTAAAGAGGGACGCTGCTGTCCATCCCTCGATCATTAAGTTCCCTTAGTCGCCTCTTATAATAGCCACGAGAAAGAAAGGGGTGGTCCATTCTATGCCGGAACTGCACTGAAGTATGTTATGTAGTAGTAAAATTACTAGGTATAATTGCATAACATCGTAGTCCTCATAAATGTCGTAATATATTCCCTGATGTCATTGATACTGTTAATGTTATAGGCGTCGGTTATTTTTTTTCTACCAGGTAGGCCGTTGGTTTGTTTGCTCGTATTATGTATCGTAAAATTTGTTTGTATTGCTATGGCACACTCACAAACGAAAGTTGTATTTGACATTATGTATTTTTTTTTTATCATTTATGTTATCTCGCGTTTTTTTTTATATGTATGTTGTAATTTGTGTGCTGTAAAGAAGTAATGCAATTAAATTATCTATGTTCTTAAATGAAAAATTATCTTCTGTTAATTATGTTATAAAACTTTAAGAAAATATTGTGTGATCTAAAAATATGTAAAAATACAGTTGAATTGCGAACGAGAAAATAAGATTCAAAAGATATAAAATTTGTAAAAAATAAGATTTCTAGTAATAATATAGCTAGTTTCAGCAGAACCACCATTAATAAATACAATACAATTAAGACACAAGAAGCGTAATTTGGTTTTCAGGAGTAGAAACTGTTTATTTATTTTTTTAAATTCTAGCTACATAGAATACTCGTATATATATATATATATATATATATATATATATATATATATATATATATATATATATATATATATATATATATATATATATATATATATATATATATATATATATATTATAAAAAATAAGAAATTATTTTACCTGCATCGCAGTTTTTTGATGACTGGCCTCTGTGGAGTGCTGTCGTGTATTCTAACTTGCGTCGGGTCTATTTCTTCACATTCATCGTCATCATACGGAATCTGGCCGGTCCTTCTCGCTAATATAGAATCCATGAACGGGCTATAGATCTGCCCCGAAGTACCTAGAATATCGTCGATATCAGTATATCGTGAGATATATCTATCCATACTTTTCTGATATGGCAGATTTCTCCTTCTGTATTGTCTATTGTTCTCGTAAGGCGAAGTACGACCTCTATATTCTTCGTTCTCTCTAGGTGTTTCAAGTCCTTCAGGGCTCCTTCTATCGCCTAATGGTTCATCATCTGGTAGATTTAGTGGGAATGGAGGGATATGGTTTTGAGCAACGTATGCCTCTACTTCTTCAGATTCAGAACTGTCGCTGTCTTCTTTCGGCGGAGGAGTAGGTAGTTTCTCTATACCTTCAGGAATGTTTTTATTGCTTGATAACCACCAAGGTCGTTCACCTGATTCAACATGTCGAATCCTTCGTAATGGAAAACTTTTTTGGTCAGAGCCAGATTTGCTTAAGCTATTTTGAGTTTCTGTTTTATTTTGTGTTGAATTTTCATTACTTGTGAGCCACCAGTCTTTTTCACCAGATTCGATATGTCTTACTTTGTAAAAATTGAATTTTTCACTTTTGTCACTATCACTCGAGGACTTTCTTGGAGGACTTAATCTTTCCATTCCCTCTGGTATATTAGCACTACTATCTAGCCACCATGGCTTTTCATCATCTATGAATTTATATTTTTTTCCCGGCTTATTGCTATCAGATTTTTCAGCGGAATTTGAGTTCGCTGTTAGATTTTCATTCTTATTTTCACTATTAGATTCAAGCCACCATGCTCTTTCACCAGATTCTATTCGTTTAATTTTTTTAAACTGATTCTTATCCGAATTAGAATTTTGATTATCATTACCATTTATTTTACTTTTTTTATCGGAATCAGAGTCAAGCCACCAAGCTTTTTCTCCAGATTCAATATGCCTTATAGCTTTCAGTTGAACAAGTTTGTCGTCATTAGATGCAATAATATTTTTACTTTTACTAGATCTGTCACTTTCAGTCAATAAATTAGAAATATCTTTACCTGTAGAATCTGACGAACTCTCGGGCCAACGACTATTTTCGCTAGTATCTTGATGTCTCATTTTAAACAAATTAGTTACGGGTGCTAGGGCTCGAATTAAAAATGATTTAGCTTCTTCAGCACCTCCGTCATTTTTCTGTGGTGTATTAGGTGATGACTGTCTTACCCCTGATCGATCAGTTGGTATAGATATTTCATCTGCTGATGTTCTAGATACATCTTGTGTTTTGGATTTTGATATAGTATCATCTTCACTTACTGACGATTGAGTTGATAAAGTGACACTAGACTCTGGACTATTGCTTTCACGGGATTTGGAATGTTTCAATTTTTGACGTCCATTCACTAAATTATTACTTGAGGAATTTTTTTGAATATTTTTTGATGGACTTATCGACGTTGCTTTTGTTTTTTCACTGATTTCACTTCCTTGGTCAGAATCTGTGGAACTAACAGATTTGCTTCTCTTTTTCACTATTTTCTTTTTAGAGTTTGAATCAGATGATGAATCTGTGCTAGATTTTCTTACTTTAATTTTTTTAGTTTTCGTGGTTCCATCAGTTTTGGGTGCCTGAGGTGGTAATAAACTATTAGTGATTGTTAATTCAGGTGAAACTAATTCGGTGGCAGCGGCTAACGGACTTTTAGCTCTCTTTAATTTCAAATTGACGTTTATTATTATTTCTGATGTCTCATCGTCTTTATTTTGCTCATATACTGCTACTATATCATGATTTGTTGCATCTGTTGTTACATTATTCACATTAGAGTTCTCTACCTGTTTATTTTTGATTATATTTTCAGTGCATGAATTTGAATTTGTTGAACTTGAGCTTTCTCTAGGTTGTGGTTCTTTGCTACGACTTCGACTACTTCTATCATTTTGAATATTATTGTTAGATGAATTTTCACGTAATGTAGAATACTGTGTTGAATATCTACCAGCATATCCAGTGTAACTATTAACACCTGGTGTATAGTAAGACCAATTTGTTGCGCTAGCTCTTGAAGTACTACCAAATCGACTAGATCGCGTTGGATCATCTAATCTGTCAGACTGAACCTCTTTGTCAACCATAGTAGGCCTTTTCTTTGATCGAGATAAAGTTTTTTCAATTGTTTTTGCCATATCGGCTCGACGAATTCGAACATAAGCAGAAGAGCCTGGTGGAGTAGGGGATGTATGTCGAGTAATTACGGTTATAGTTTCATTCTCAGTCTCATTTTCGTTTACATTATTACAGACAAATTTATTTTCCTTTTCAACATTTTCTGGGACTGATTCCATTTGGAATTGATTATTTTCTTGTACTACAATTGTTGGTGTTATAGGTTTCTCGTTTTCATTTTTAGATACATCTGCATGATTTACTGGTGACACCGAAGTTCTTTTTATAGTCGGTGGGCTTCTCAGATAATTTGTAGAAAGCCGACTAGCTATAGCGTATCTGTTAACTGTAACTTCTGGTTTAGTCTCTGTTCTTGAAGCAGGTCGTGTATAACTTGAACTTCGTGGATACAATTTGTAGCTCGACAGGCTACTGTAGCCTGTAGACTTATCAGTCTTACTTGGAATGTCTTTGTCGCGATCTACAGGACTGGAATCTCGACTTTTTTCCTTGAAGCTCTTCGTCGTTCTTCTTTCAGGGCTTAAGTGCCTTGAAGTTCGATTGTAACTGTACTTCGATGCTGTCGATATAGGGCTAACGTCTCTGCTTTTTGAGTTGGTTGATGGTATAGTAAGTTTTGTGTAGTCCTTCTTTTCATATTTCGAGATAGGTTTTTCATTTTTGTTATAGGTGGCATATCGACTTGCTATTGTTGAAATGGGAGACTCGTCTTTGGTGGTTTTATCGGAACAGAGTATGGGGATGCTAGAGGATTTATATGAAGGCGTTGTGTTGATGTACTTCGCTGTGACACTAGTAGGTCGGTCTGTCGATGTACTTGATACATTTCGACTGGTGTCTCGACTGCGGCCATAAGATGATGTATCGTACTGAAAGCAACAAAATGTTATCAATTAATTACTTGCGTTTTTTCAATATATCAGGTTTAAATATTGTACTTGGAATATATTATATTGGTTAAACATGGTGTAAGTAGTAGAATTTAACGAATTACCTCTACGTTGCCAAATAATATGTAAAAAGTTTGCAAAACTTTCTGTTTTTGTCCCATAGCCATGGTCATTTTATTACTTATATTTTTGAGAAATATATGTTGAGTTTGAATTAATAAGTCATATCTATTAGTGTTACATCTAAATTAAATCAAAATTATAGTCTATTTATAGATCGAAGTCCCTATATGTATTGTTCACACCTAATAAAGCGGGTAACGATATTTCTATTCCTTGGGTGTAACATAAAGTCCATATTCTTCATTCAACACTATCATGCATAAAGCTTCTCCTTTCACCGCTTAAAATAACTAAGGGAATGCGTAGACTTACTGAACTCTGCTTCCAATGCCATACAAATATCACCCTTAACGCAAACAAAATATGAGTGATGCAATATTGTTTGTTAAGGAGATAACACAAGGAGTGATTTTATTGAGCCCTTTGCTATTCAAAATATTTAAGGGCTTGCACCAGACTGATTAATAGTAGGCTGAGAAAATCTACTAATAGCGGTTTAGGATTCTATTTACTTTTCAATACAGTACTTTCACAATGTTTTATTTTATTATTTTGTGTATCTATTATTAAAGTTCTGGATTCAGAGAGGAAGTTTCATATACTTGTTCACATGTGCCTGTACATGTTTTCATATAGTTTTTCTAATCCTATAAATTACAAAAGCTTACTAGCATTTATGGAAAAAATGCCGAAAATTCTTTAAACAAGACCAAATATAATATTAATGAAACAAAAACTTGTGTTGTATATATCTATGAGTAACTCCATTGTACTTGTACAATCGAGTAAATAAATAAAAATGTTTGCGAATAATTGGATATTTCTACATAACCATGAGCTTTCATTATAATTGGTGTATTTGTAACGTTACAATATTTTCTTAAAGATGATAAGAGATGAAGGAAATTATATATTTTTCCTTATAACAAGAAGAGTACAGTTATGAATATAAGTTTATGACAGCAACTGTAACATAAATGTTATTATAGAAATAAAAATGTACATAGCTGTTATAGGTATACGAGTACTTGTTTATGATTAGCTTTTTGCCAATTATCTTCATACGTGTGGATTTTTTAATTAGGTGACCACTCCTAGATGACGTATAAAGATTAAACATACACCAAATTGAAAGTTACACTTTCAAGAACGTAACTGCGAATACTGCATTCAGTTTGCGATGACGTCGGAACTAATATACAGACAGACAGACACACAGACAAATTTAATCAATAATATTATAGTTTTGGTCTCTGTTGATATTATTAAGAGCCCCCAAATTTTTCCTGAATTTTATTTTAAATATCTCCATCTCATATATCATGTACAGACATCGTTTAGTTACAATTTTATTACATTAGTAATAAGATTTTGAAATTCATATTTAGCAAATAATTATAATGTAAAAAATTACATTTCAATATGTTCACACAAGCTAATTTCTGAAATCATGTATTTAAGTACACAAATGTGTATTTCATGTATGTGTGTATATGTGCAAAATTTATTGTAATCATGTAAAATAAAAAATTACATTGAAATTTTGGGAACGTGTATTGTTAGATAGAGATTTAAAAGTAATTTGGATTTGACAGGTAGTGCAATTGTCGACATCTAAAAAAATGTAGATCAAGCCACTTATAAAAACTAATTATTATAGATATTACGTAAACATTGAATAATTATATTTTAATAATTATAGTATAAGAATCATTATGCGTTCCCAACGAAAAGAAAAATATAGAGGTTGTTAGTTTCGAAACGGGTGCCTGCTAAAATATAAGAGCAATTGACTCGATACGGCGCGGCGGCGTGAAGATGCGGTTTCAAACGACGCTCGTTTCAAAATATTTTCAATCATACAATAATAATTAATGGAATATTATTATGAATACATGCTTAAAAATATATGATATTTATTAAGCATGTGTTCATATAATATCAAGCCTATAATGTTTATGTACTGAATATTACAATTTATTAAATAGTTAACTATTTGAACTGATAAACATTGTTTTGTTCTCTATCTCCGTCTACCGGGTCCGTATTTTCGTATTTGTTAGGTAGGATCCTATCTCTTAAGTTGGAGCAAACCTTTACAAATTTTCATTAAAAGCAGTCGAAGATTAGCGTAAACGAACAACGTGACACGAGATTATTTTATATTGAAAACAAATAGAAAATGGTCTAGCACTAGCCTGAATGGGTGGTACCGTACAGCATTTATTTATGATATCTGAACCTGGTCACAAAAAATATTAAGATAGATTGACATTTGAAATACGCGTCATAATCCACGTGATCCCCCTGGAAACCATCGAGCTGAACTCCAGATGCATTCATCACGATACGCTAATTGACCTGCCTTTTTATTCTCACCTATCATCCCTCATTAGAGCCTCGCCAGTGTATATCGAAATTACCATTCCATTATCATCCATTAAAAAAAAAAAATACGCGTCATAAATAATCATAAATAAAGTTCATCGTATTCGTATGTTCAGAGATGAAACAGAAGCGGGCGAACGAGCGTCGTGTTTTTTTCTAACAATTGCCATTAAGAAAGATATTCAATGAATGTAATCTTATCTAAATATAAAGAAGGAAGTTCTGTCTGACACTACGGCGCCAAAATCACAGGATATATAATAGATTGCTGATAGTAACGTGTAAAATGTGTGATATGTTTTTAAAAAGCAAACAAAATATAAAAAAAAGTAGACAAAAGAAAAAAAAGACTGTAATCTCATTTAGGAATAGTGATTACAGTGTATGGATGATAATGGGATGGTAACTATACTTATGTAATTGGCATATGCGGACAGAGCACCAGTGAGGGATGATAGGTGAAGATGAAAGCAGATCAGTTAGTTCAACGCGACGAATTCATCAAAAATTTATCATGATGGTGATAAGAGAAATTTTTTTAGAAACATTAAGGATATCATCAGAATTGTTGAAACTCTGTGTTATTTTTTATTTTCTAAGACCCAGAAAGTCTTAGAAAATAAAAAATAACACACACAGAGAGAGAATGAACTTTACTGCGTATAATGTACTACAAAATCATGATACTTACGTAATTCCTAAAAGACATTCTGCTCTAATTTCAACTCGCGTCCATTAGCCAATATTCACTTCTCTTACGGTTGATATATCTGAAATGATAGGAAAAACATTATTAAATTGTTTAATAGATTACTCTTAGTATTTAAAGGTCAAAATAGGATTCTTTCATAGGTATATATTGTATATATTTTTGTTTCCTTCTGATGATTGAATATAAAAATAAAAAGTATTTATATATTTTCATGTGTGGGTATATTTTTATTACTGTTTTATTACTATACGTTACGGACAGCTCGATTGCCTTCCTAGCAAAAAAAAAATCTTAAGTATGAACTACTTTAATTCACAGCTCATTCCGAGGACGAGCTTCTTACCGAGTTTTTTCAAAAGATTACGCAACATGATATTAAAAAAAATCATGAATATTTTTTTTCTCGAAGAAAATTTAATTGTAGATTTTTATTTATTTATTTATTTCTCTTACAAAATAACAACATAATAAAATTTACAGCTACATAGGTTACAAAAGATTTATTTGCTACGTTGGTAATACAAAAACAAATAATTAAAGTATTTTTAGTGACCCATAAAACCGAAAAGTCTCTCGCTTTTGTAGTAATCGTGCCTACTCGTTAGTGTAGAATTACAAATTAAGAGCGGAGCATTGTTCAAGTTCGAGACATGACAATATCGTTCAATTTTATTGTCATCGTAAAATCTCGTAGTGGAAATAGTCAAGGTTGTGTGGATAGAAATGGGACTACGCGTGCTCTAGGGATGGGTTATTGTCAGTATACGCGCATTGATATCGAAATAAAAGAGATTGAAAAATATCGATATGTCTTACAATATAAGGAATAGTAATTATTAAGTAGGAGTATCGATATATGTTATCAGGATACTATTGAAGGATAGTTGTTGATTAGTGGTTAATTCGGTAGTTTACCATGATTTTTGGGGGACCACTAATCGGATACCACCTGATAGAGTATGTTGCTAGCAGTGAGGTCATTAATCCCTAATTCCTCAATCAAACAAATAATTTCTTTTTTAGTCAGCGCTGGTTTTTTTTTTTTTTTTTTTGATGGGTGAAAATGGAATGGTAACCCCGCTTGCGCTAACGGGATACGCTGGCGGAGTACCAGTGAAGGGTGATAGATGAGAATGAAAACAGGCCAGTTAGCCCATCATGATGAATTCATCAGGAATTAATCATGATAGTTTCCAGGGGGAACCGCGAGGAGGTCGACCTGGTTGGGTATATTGCTAGCAATAGGATTCTCAGTCTCCGTTACTAACAATCCCTTTCCCCCCAGTCAGCGCTGGTTAGGTTGTTTTAAACGCAATTTGTTCTTTTGAAGAAAGGATAAGATAAGATATCTACCAAGTAAAAAGCAGCCTTTTTAATAGATCATAATTTAATGGCATGATAACCCCGCCTGTGCTAACAGTATACGCTGGTGGGGCACCAGTGAAAAGTGATAGGTGAGGATGAAATGGCAGGTCAGTTAGCCCATCGTGATGAATACACCTGGAATTCAACACGATGGTTTCCAGGGTGACCATGTAGAGGTCATAGCAATGTGACTAGTAGTTCGCATTAGTAAGTAACCCTTCCCCCCAAAAGGAGGCTCAGGTCACGTAACATGCAACAGGGCACGTATTTTTTTTTCATTTATGGACTTGTGTTTGCGGGAAGTGTGAATTAATTCACTGGCTTCTTTTATGAACATCCTGAGAGAATATCGTGTTACACACCATCTGTGCGTACAAATCACAATACGGATGAAGATATATCCCTTGCATATTTTGAAGTTTTTCATTATAACAAGTTTATATAATTTTACTGCATCATCATTATCATTCAGCCGTTGATTGTCGACTGCTGGACATAGGTCTCCCTCCCTCACTGGTTTTCCAGTAGTTGTCACGCTTGGCAGGTAGATTGATAATCGCAATTAGACTTTTAACGCTGCTACCTACTCTTCCATTACGATACCCAGGGGAAAGGAAAGAATATTATTACTTCATATATGTACTTCACATAAACTGACTTCTCTTTTAAATTATGTAAATCGTCTTAGAAATGTCGTATATAATTAAAAATAATAAAATGTTAAAAAGTTGAACGTTTATAACTTTTTTTAATTAAAAATCTAATTATAATCGTTAGTTTCACGGTTCGTATAAGTACAATTTTCAACCGAATTCAAAAGGAGGAGGTTCTCGATACGTCTATTTTTGATGTGTTTTGCGTTATTTTTATCAATTTTAGATTGAGTTCGTTTCCTTTATTATTTATTTTCCTGGTTCAGGTGGAGAATAGAGTACCATTACCTTACCCGTGGGTGTCGTAAGAGGCGACTAAGGGAGCCCGTTTATCAAGCCTGGCAATTATTGGTAAAACCCCCCCAAGGGGAAGGCTTATGTTCAGCAGTGGACAGTCAAAGACTGATATGATGATGACGAATTATTAGTTAAACGTTGGAAATCAGAGGATAGTTCCTTTTATTGTTTTTAAATTTATTACAAATACGTCTGAACATTGGTTGTGGGCGTTTGGCAGCGATCGCACGCATATCGTACATGTTGAGGTGATGTTGCGACGTTGCTTCTGATATTACGCGACAGATGTTACAAGCTAGTTGCAATTATTTCATCATTGCGATAGATAAATATGTAGTGTACTGTACTCGAGTTTTAGGGCTTATTTCTCCGTGTACTCTGCAGTAGGCGTGTGTAATATCGATACCGCGGGGTGGGGGGGATTGCTAGTAATGTGGACTATCAGTATCACTAGTAGCAATACACTCTATCAGATCGACCTCCACGTGGCTCCCCCTGGAAACCGTCCTGCTGAATTCCAAGTGTATTCGTCACGATAGGCTAACTGATCTGCCTCTTCATTCTCACCTATAATTTTTCACTGGTGCCCTGCCAGTGTATACCGCTAGCGCAGGCGGAGATACCATCCTATTATCATCTTTAAAAAAATCTATACAACTCTGGGTTCTGGTTATTGATGATAGAAAAAATTCATCACCCATTTTAATATTGTCCATATCAGTTGGATCTTGAATTCGATTCGATGTTTCATTTGACTATAACATATTGGACAAACGATATTTAATTAATATAATATATACATGTAAAAGGGTCCTAAACTTAATAGTCATTACTAATATTATAAATATGAAAGAGTGTTTGTTTGTTAGCGTCATAACGGGTTAACTAAACACTGTGCAATTTCGTATAACGTGTATTATATGAGATGGAGAAAGATATCAAGTCAGTAAACATATCCTGGGTACGCAGACGAAGTCACCGGTAAAAGCTAATCTTTAGTATTTGCTGCACAATCATACCAATCATTTGATCTACAAACTAGAACAAATCAAATAAATATTTGGGTGCACAAAGCAGAATACCTAACCATACCATCATTATCGTCATCATGGCAACCTTTAACTGTCCACTGCTGAACGTGAGACTCTCTCTTGGGAGGTTTTCTAGTAGTTGCCATGCTTGGCAGGTTGATTGGCAACCGCAGTTAGACTTTGGAGATATTTTAAGAGGGACGCTACTGCCCATCTCGGCGCGACGTGCCTATCAAGGTAATCAATCAATATGGATCCAACATACAACAACAACAACTAGGGGGGAAAGGGATTGTTAGTAATGGAGACTGAGAATCCCATTGCTTGATTTTTATTATTTATATACCCACCAGGTCGACCTCCTCGCGGTTCCCCCTGGAAACTATCATGATTAATTCCTGATGAATTCATCATGATGGGCTAACTGGCCTGTTTTCATTCTCATCTATCACCCTTCACTGGTGCTCCGCCAGCGTATTTACCGTACAGCGTACCATACCATTTTCACCAATCAAAAAAAAAACATACCCACCTAAAGTATAGCTATAATATATTAGCCTAATCGGTCCAGTTACTGGTGTAAAGTAAACAAATTCAACTAATTTTGTTTAGGTACCATGATTTACGAGTACAGTTTAGAAATCACCACAGTAGCTAATGTTTCAGTACCGAGTTATTGAAATTTCAGTAACTAATAACATTCAGTAATCAATATGCTACAAAGTTGTTTTGCTTTGCAAAGCTGGTCAATATTGAAACACAGTAAAATGTAATCTAAGAATGAGTAATTCATTTACCGAAATCAAATCGTAACTAGTCATTAGCACCCGCTTATTATTTGTTTATGAAACATTTTAACAGCTTCGTTGTTGATTATAGACATTCATAAAGTTAGCTTCGATCATTTAAGATTGTGTTAATACGTATAATAACATAGAATAATATACATAATTAAAGATTTGGATTAATTGAGTACCTTCTACTTTTTTGAAGTCGGTTAAAATTGTTAATGTATTGAGGGTTTTTTTTGATGGGTGAAAATAGTATGGTAACTTCGCCTGCGCTAACGGGATACGCTGGCGGAGCACCAGTGAAGGGTGATAGATGAGAATGAAAACAGGCCAATTAGCCCATCATGATGAATTCATCAGGAATTAACCATGATAGTTTCCAGGGGGAACCACGAGGAGGTCAACCTGGTTAGGTATATTGCTAGCAATGGGAGTCTCAGTCTCCATTACTAACAATCCCTTTCCCTCCTATATTGAGGGTTAGATATAGTCAAAAGTATTTTCAAGACGTTTCTGTCGTTTATGACAGCTATTAGGTTAATATATTTATAGTGTAGTTATAATGTTAAGTACAGACTGTTTCAATAGAATATTGAAAATATAAATTATGAAATATAATAATTGATTGGCCTGACTAAAAAATATAATAATTCGATTTATATCTAATTTCTTATAAAGAACAGTCTTTGATAATTTCAATGAAACTCAGTTACCCATTTATTAAGTTCTATTATTAAACAAATTAAACCTAGGTACTTTTTTAATTTTCCATCAACGATATGAGCTCTTTTAATTTTATTACAACCTAGTATTTTGTCGATATTTACCTCTACTTCTTAAATGCTCATGTACACCATATATCCTTATGATTGAATTGTTAATCATCATAGGTAGATGATGTCCAAATTGTATTTTCAATCA